GCATCCAGGAACAACTCACTGCTGGACTCGGGCTCACTCTCCCTTGTCTCCTCCCCACTGGTCCAAGACTCAGGCGCCCTCCTCGGAGTCGGAACCCTGTCCAGGGTCCTCCACATCCTCCAGAGCCAACTCATAGGGCCCCTCGCTGTCGGAGTCTGGTGGCAGCTCCAATGGCTCCTGCTGGGCCACAACACTAACTTAACAACTGCAGTGATTCACTTAACAACAAAGGTCATAAAAATGGGGTGAAACACACTTAACAACTGACTTGTTTTAGCAATGGAAATTTTGGACTCAATCCTGGTCAAGTATTATCTGTACTACATTGGTTCTTAATTGCCTTGTGAATAGCAGATCAATTTAATTCTATGGAAGCAGCTGTAGTTCAATCAAATAAGACATGCTTCGCAAATTGAAGATTCCTCATCTAATCTGTGATCTCCTCTAAACATCTTTAGATCGCCTCCTAGTCACTATTCAGGCAATTATGAGCTAGAATGGGCTAATCTCCGTGATACGGTACCGTATCAGAAAGCTTCCAATTACTATCATCATCCAGAAAGCACAGAAAAGATGTGGAATGGTAAAATGAATGAGGTTGTCATTAATTATCTTTAGCCAGATTGCAGTGATAATCCGCTCCTTTCACAAGTTTATTTTGCTTACTGCTTTTTGCTACTTTTCTATTTTTGGCATAATTTTACTAACCCCAAAAGGGATGATGGGTCTGTCTGTATGTAATTTTTACAATTCAAATTGTGTTCATGAAGTTTCAAAACTTGATTTAATAACAACCCTACTCCATAAATGTCAAGATGAATTATCCTCCAAAGGGCATTTATAGTATTCAGTTAAGCAATTTAAAATCACACAACCAAAGGCAATAACAATTTATAGGAAAAACAAGATTAAAGTATTAAAACACCATATACATTATATATTATATATAAAAATAGTGGCACCAGATAAAATATTACAGCATCACAAATTATCCAAAGCCACCAGCATATGTTGTAGTCTAACTGTAAACCAAATAAGCTTAACTTTCTTCCTTGGGAAGAATATCAAAGGAATGTGGAGCCACTACAGAAAAAGCTCTGCCTTACTATCACAACTTCTTCTTACCCATAGAACAGGAGCCGAGGTGGCACAGTGGTTAGAGTGCAGTACTGCAGGCTACTTCAGCTGAGTGCAGTTCTGCAGTTCGGCTGTTCATATCTCACCGGCTCAAGGTTGACTCAGCCTTCCATCCTTCCGAGGTGGGTAAAATGGGGACCCGGATTGTTGTTGGGGGCAATATGCTGACTCTGTNCACCTACATTTCTTAATAATTTTTTGGGGAGAAAACATATTTTTTTCTAAACTGGATGTTATCCACATTTTAGGGGAAGAAAATGTAGAGAAAGAAAAGTACTTTATCTCTCATTTTTACTATTTTAGGTTAAATCTTTGCAAGTTATTTTCTTCAACTGTAAGCAACACTAAATTTTGCTTTTCTGTTTTCTATTCCAATCGTTCCTCACTATCATTTTCTATCCTTCACCAAAGATTCTCAGTTTAGAGACAGGAGAAGAAGGAGTTGAGTTTGAGTCCTGGTGGAGAATTTCAAGTTATTTTGTGCGCAGCAATAGAGAAACGTTGTTAACTTGCCTCCTTATGGGATCTGTTTTGCTGTTCCCAGTGTGGCCTTTTTTAGTGGCCTCACATCTAAATACCAGCCAGGTCCAACCTTATTCAGTAATTCTCAGAGAAGATGCAAAAAGAGAGAATATTTGCATTGATGGTTGGAGGTCACATCTATACTTTAAACCATTCACAATTCATGTTTCACATTCTGTACATCTAATTCAGGCTGCAATATATTTTACTGCAGAGCACATGGCAAACAGAATTGGGTGAGAGGACAAGGAGAAACAAAGTGGGGAATACAGCTTCTGTAGTTATTTTCAGAAACTCAAGAGACTGTTTCACAAGCTACAGGCAGCCATGGTATCTCAGGCAATCCCAGTAAAATGTCCTGGAATTCTTGGCAAATCAGTCGTCAGGTTTTTGCAATACATGCTATTCGTTTTATGCTGGGATGAACCATGTGCTGATTTTGGTATAACATAAGAGCTGGAAGCATAGCACCACACTTGGAATATGTTCCAAAGATCATTGAGTTCACCCTGTTAATATGTAAATCATTACTACAGCATTTATAAGCTAATCCGTTAATCAAAACATTCTTTGTTCTTGCCTTTGCTGTGTATTTACTCAGTTTTTCCAAGGCAAGTTACTGCTTCAGAACTTTTATACCCATTCTTCATTTGCAATATAAAACTAAAAATGCTGATCCATCTTCTGCAGTTATTGTAATGATTAATAATAACAGTAACAATAATTATAGCATACCTAAAGTAATTGAAAACTCTATAGCATTACATAACTAATATGATGCGGACTTAGTTTGCTTTATTTCTGGTCTTGCATGCCTAAAGACAACATTGGCACACTTTCTTTCTGTAATTGGTTGCTGTCCTAGGGGAAATTAAATCAATCATGCACATAGCAAATAATTATGAGCTAAAAAGGTCAAGAAAATCAGTTTAGAAATTTTCATTCTGTAATAAAATAAGGGACCTTTAAGTCTATATCAAAACAATTTTTGAACTTGAGAGGCCATTAAATAATTAGGCAAGTTATTTGGTGAGGTCTGTACTTTAAACACTGATAACAAAACAATAAAAGAGTCAACTACTATTATTAGATGGCACTTGTGAAAAGTTCTTTTGCATTCCTTCTAGTTCATCTCTTTTCTTCTTTTTCTTTTGACAAGAAGCATATATTAATATAGTGGAAGTTTCATTTTTTATTTTAAATCTCCTGATCATTTACATTTAATTGTCAACCAAAAAATCCAAGACTTTATATCTTAATTATCTTCCCCCCCCCCCACGGGCTAACTTAATTTAATCTTGGAGAATACTGTATACATCTTTGCTCCTTATAGTAACATTTCAGTTAGGTGTAATGAATAGAGATAAATAATGTGGGGTGGATTGTATCTAAAAGGCTATTGTGCATGTGAGTGTAAACAATAGGTTGGATCCTCAGGCTGGAAAAGTATGCAGGGTTATTAGTAACATAACAGATGTCTAGTTGCTCATAATTAGTTGTAACATCTAACTTAATATAAACACCACTTTTAGAAAGTGCAGGGATAAGAGCTACTGGATTTAATTTGCAAAAATCTGAATGACCACTAAATGAAAGCAAAGAGACACAGAAGATTATAGCTCTTTGCTGCCATACAGAGTTTTGCAGTCCAGGCTTAGTATGATGCAGAGGCTTCAGAATATTGAAACAGAAATATAATAAATGCTTTTAAATATTTACAAGCCTTTCTGTCATTCTTTCACGCACCACCTGATACACTTTATTGGTGCCCCAAGAAGTAGCAAACTTTTTAAAAGCCTCAATTTCTCAGTTCTTACAAGTATTTTTTTCAGCTTTTCAGAAAATATAACTTAATAGTTAACATTTACAACAAATGCTCCCAGGAGGTAGCATTATTTACAGTGGCCAAGACCAATCCTCTTCTTTTCCATCCAACAATGCCATAGGCTCAAGAAGTTAGAGACACCCTAGAATTTCAGGTCTGGATTGTCTTCTGCAGCACAACTGGGTGCTTCATTCTTTAAGATACAATTCTAGCTCTTCTAGATGCGTTTTCCTTGCTACATTGCTTGTTCTGTTGCCTTTTGCCAGTAGGGGGCACACCATCCACAGGGATAAAGCTGAAATACTAGATTCTTCTAAGCCTCTTCCTGCTGATACTTTTTTGGTAGCCTCTGGTGTGATGGATGCATCTTGATTTTCCACTTGCTGAGCACAGAAAACTCAGAACAATTCTTCATATTACAGCTTCTTCATTGCCCACAAGGTGGCACAAAGTCCCCACTCTATAATAGTCTATAGGAAAATTGCAAAGGGTTTAAAATACTGCTTATTTGGAAATCTCCATTGCAGGTGGGGATGCTAGGACCATAAGAACATGTGAAAGAGCTGTGAATAGTCAGTATTTTCCTGGAGGCACTTCTGTCCTCTTTTCCTGGTGAAGTGTGCACACTTCTGCCAAGAAGTGATCCAAGAGGGTCTCAAGGTCTGCCCTTGGCAGTGGAGTTTGGTAGAGCTACCGATACCGGCATGCCAGGGCATTAACATTCTTCACCACATAGAAGCTCATAGTGAGCGGTGGAATAACAAGGGTTCGTCCAGGACGAAGAGGACGAGGCTTCAGATTTGGCAGAGTTCCATCATCCAACATAGTGAGGAGCTGTCCATTAAGCTGCACAGACCTGCATAGACCAGATGCATTTTTCAGTTAAAATGTAGAGGAGAAAGCTGCCCTTCTCCAGGTAATGGGGAAAAGGGTAGAACTTAGAGATTGCATAGATGTTCTTCATGACAATGATAAAAAAAGTACAGGAGACTTCAAGATAGATAAACATTAGCTTTATCTTTACATCTTTACTATGGAACCTAAAGATCCTATGAAAGGACATGGCTAGGACAGTGTCAGATAAATTATACCAATACTAGAATCACATGGATGGTAAGAAGAGAATTCAGGACAAATAAAAAACTTTAGCGAATCTATGGTTAATCTAGGGCAGGATCTCCAACCCCTGGGCCATGGCCCACTACCGGGCCTTGAGGTGTTCAGAACTGAGCCGCAGAATTGACAGGCGGGCGCACACATTCCCACTTACGTGGGGCGACCTGCCACTTGCATGGAACCATCCCCTCTCTCCTCCACCTGTCTGCGAAGCTGGAAAGTTTGGGGAACTCGGATCTAGGGCATGTATGATGACAAGATGCAGTGATGATCAACAGTCTAGAAGACTTTAAAAGCAGATTGGACAAATTCATAGCATACCATTAACTGATACGTAGTTATGACTCATGATGGTGGAATTACATTCCACAACTCAGACAGTACATGGCTTGATACTACTTGCTGAGAACAAAGGAGAGCGGCCTATTGTGCTTGCATTCCATTTGTGGGTTTTCCACAGGCATTTCATTGGCCATTAGGAAAATGGAATGTAGGCCATATAAGCCTTCTTAGGTTTGGTACAATACCATAGTTCTTTTTATCTGATTTTGTGCGGGGCACCATAAATAAATGGAGAATAAAGCAAGAAGGTATATCAGAATAGTTTTCTTTATGGGGCCTGGAAACCTCTGTCAAGCGTAGATGGAATTTTCAGGAAAACAACATTGCTGGATTCTCCATCAGTATTTTAAAGCTGGATGGAATTAGACACAGTGATAAGTTCCAAACAAGTTGTGTTGTGTTTATAACACAAAAATACATGGTTTCTTAAAAGTGAACATTATTCACATGATTTATTATAACATAAGCTTTTGGGACAGCAAAAAGATGGAAATTAAATGGCAGGTAGCACACCATATGTACAGATGAATAAATGGGGTACAGTGCTTAACATCAATGCTTGGTCACTTTAACAGGTTCTCATGATAGTGGCCTTGAACTGGACAATAGCACTCACCTTGACTGAAGTCCTTCTTGACCATAGGGTTGCAGCACATACTGATGGACAAGTTTGTCCCGAAGGGTCCCCACCAACTTGATTTTCTTTCGTGACCGATGCAAGTTGATAATGTAAATTGTGATAGAACCACGGACATAATTATGGCTGTGAGAGAGATAAGAGCTTAAAGGTGAATCATTTGAATACTTTTTAGTAATAACGTATTAGCTCTAGAATTAAAGATTTTCACTATTATTTTCCAATTCCAACATGAAATTCTAGTGAAAGGAACCCCATTTTGGGACTTATTTAGCATATCTGCCTAACTGCAAGAAGCATTTCCTCCAGTTCAATCTAGGATGTTATTCTGTCATATCAATTGTCCAATTTGTCACTTTGCAAAGAAAGATTTAGTTAAAGGAGACTCCCAACATTTTCTGGAATAATTCCTTGGTCTTAATGAAGCCACCATGGACTGGTGTTTTCAGAGCAGCTATGGTCCTATGTTTCCAGTAAGGTAGAAAAAGATAACATTTTTGCTTCAAGATCTAGCCTAGTTTGTAGGAAATATCATAAAATCAAATAGCACAATTTGTTGGGATGTATATGTAGAAGCATCAATATTTTTTCTTGGAAAAAGTTAGTACCCATTAGTGCAGTAAATGTAACACTTCTTTGTCTAGTTAAATGAATAGGCTTCCAACCCTACCATTATTTAATTACAAGTGGTTATTAAACTGAATAGGAAACCGGCATGTGAGACAGGAGCAGTTACTGCATCTGTGATGAATGGATGATTAGAGTGGGCTTCAGGTTTTTAATGTTTGTTGCAGGCAGAAATAGGATGATTAGACCCTTACAAGTGTAAGTAAAATCATCCTATTTAGCTGTAATTAGCCATCATGTATACTACATGTAGAAGTGCTACCTGCCTAAAAAGCAAAATTTTATAGGTCAGAAGAAAGCTATACTGTACGCTAAAGAAAAGTCCTTTGGGGGGAATATTTGAAAGCTAATAGAATCGTTAGATACATGTTGGGAGTCCCTGGCTGAAATCTCAGCTAATCAGATGAATTGTTTTAATGGCCTTTGGTAATCTTTCAGTCTACATCTCTTGCCTGAAGGGTGATGGTGGGGTTAACAGCACTATTTTATTATAGGATGTTTATACAGATGGGATAATACAAGGCATCTAAAGCTTTCTGCATATTATTTCCTTAGGCAGCATTTATAAGCTTTTCAATACTCCTGCTTTTGAAGTAAGCTTAGGCAAGAATATCCCCAAAGAGGAGAGTTAGCCTCAGCTTCTACACAGGTGGCCCCCATTTACAGTATTTGCCCTAGGCATGGAAAGGAGCCAGAGGTCTGCTGGCCTGTGCCTACTCTCCCTTTCCCATCTCTCCCTGTTTCTGTTGCCAGTTACCTGTCAGCCGTTGGCCAAAGCTCCCTCTAGGAGGGGGAGGGGGAGCCTTGCTGAAAGCATCTGGGTGATGTGAAGTAGCAACAATAGGGACCTGTGTCTTTAGGAAAGTCCCAGGTCCTACACTCCTAGGATGCTTTGAAGGCTTATCGTAGAAACTCTAGCTATGCTAGGTGCTCCGAATGGGAAGTGGGGGGAGACAAGGAACTGAAACCAAAGCATGGGGCCTTTGGGGAACTGTACTCCCTTGATGTCATCCACAAAGGCTCCCACCAGAATCCCAGAGATAGGTGAGCTTCCCTATCAACACCAATGTTGTTCCTCCCCTCTCTACGATCTGAGAAAGCCATGTTGCCAAGTTGTACACAGAGAGGGGGGAGGGAAAGAGGAGGCAAAATCTTATGCACGCATTTATATAGGCTTCCCCTCATAGTGTTCTTATGTTCAAATAATGAAGCTCGTTCTTTAACAGGTATAATGACACTTAGCTCTGGTAGCCTGGAACACAGAGATTCATCTGAATTAGATAACGTTTTCTTTTTGTGGGTGTAGCTCACGCTGATTAACCCCATTTGGGTCTGCTGGTCTTCAGTGCCCAATCTCCATTTTTTTACTTCAGTAATTGCACCTTCTCCGAGATAACTCACTTGTAGTAATTGGTGCAGTGAGCATAGATCCGTAACTTATCACGAATCACCCTGCCAGGGCGAGGTTTTCTCTGCAGTCCAGCAACATGGACAGCAAGTACTTTGGGTCCGACAAGTCGCTTATAAAGCAGTGAGAGCCAGTAGTCCTGTCAAAAAAGCCAGATTGATTATTCCTAGGACAGAGTTTATGGAGAGACAGTATAAAGGATTATGAAGCATATTCTAGTTTGCTGCAATCCAAGAGTAACACTATGCATAAAGAATTATGCTTCTCTAGGTTCAGAAAATATAAGATAGATCTTTTTTCTACTTTTAATAGCTACACATGTGGGAGAATGTGGAATATGTGTTTTTCTTGTGTTGAGAAACAGTACTTCCACAAATTCTTCTTTTTAGAATAACTGTCAAAAATGTTTGATCTCTACCCAATACTAAGCCTACTACTATAGAATTTAAGTATCCTTTTGCATGGAAAGTTTGTGACATGACCCCAGGGGTTTCTTAAATAGGTGTGTTTAGAAAAGAAGGTATTGGAAAAAACATAAATTAGATGACCTTTTATACAATCCTACTAACTAGACACGGCTGTCTCCTAGCAGAGACTTACGGGATACATTCCCAGGGGCCCCATAGACCTCTGCAACCAGATCTGAGCTCTAAAACTGTGCCCTAACCACATGGTGAAGAAATGCTGCTTGTAACCTGACAAATAATTGCAGTATAATAGACCTTCCATTCCCAGTTCTCTGAGTTATTGTTGTAAAACCCAGAACATAAAATGCCACTTGTGGTTCTGTTCTCGTCACTTCATGTTCTTTTCCTTCCAGTGGCAAATGTACACGTGTTTGTTAAATGAGATGCAGCACAACAATAAGGGTGTCATTTACCACAAGTATGAGAACAATATACCCTTAGGATTCATGTGCAAAGCAGACAAGAGTATTTATTCTTAGCTAAGGTGTAACCACAATTTGGTGCTCCTATACCGCAATATTTTACAGTAAACTTAGAGCTGTTAAAGTCTTACAGAAAAGACTATGAAAATCTGGGGATAAGAAATTATTTCTTAGATATTGTTCATGAAGTCTCACATTTAGACTATCCTGTACAGTAACTACTGAAAAATCTGTAAGCATCTCGTAAAATATGCTGTTCTCATGTGGAAGTTTTCTTGCATGTTTTAATGTTTGTAATCTTAGTTGCCTAGGATTTTGAATAAATCTTTAATTTGCTCCAACTGAGAATTACTTCAAATAATAGTAAGGACCAAATTTATCATCTAATAAAGTACACACTAAACTGAATACTCCAAAAATTATAAACAACATAGCTAGATGAAAATATCAGAATATAATATATAATACACACACACACACACAGAACGCTCAATTGTCCTTCCTTCAGCAGAGAATCACTGGAGTTAGGACTAGATCAGCCATGGCATGGAAAGGAGAGCAACTGAGCTCTTGCAAGGCACCCAGCCAAAGCTTGTCGCCAGCTGATGGGCAGCCAGGCCAAGGCAGTGATTGATGCCATGGCTTCTCTCAGCATTGGAGCGTTTGCACAAAGGAAAGATATCAAGTCTTTGTCAATGAGTTAGTGGGAGGATTCAATTTCACATCCCAGCAGTCTTGTACAGCCCCAAACAGCGACTTTCATCTCCCTGATAGCTCCCACGGGAAAAGAATGGGCACCGCATCCCAGCCCAGCTTCAGAGACTGCCATTTCTGCCTGTTCACTACCTCTCCACCCAAACATTCACCTGTTCTGGATAGGAAGAAAGATATTAGCACTGAGTGAGTTTTACTCAAAAGAAGATGCATGCATAATATGTCCTTTTTTCTTAGCCCTGTATACTTAATTTAGAATGTTTGAAATCCTAGAGGAAGCTCTGCATAGGGTTTTGATTTCTCTTAGACCCCCAAACTGCCTTTTTGGTAGAAATGCTTTGGAGAAAAGTATTTACATGTTGATACTCAGTTAACAGCAGATCTGTTTTAACTCGGACTTGTAACATAAGTCTGTGTCTCTGCCTCTGTCTCTCACTAGCCTGATAATTATCTGTACCACATTTTCATCCATCCCTATTCTCTCTCCCCTTTTCTCTTCTTATCAGTCTGTTTATAAAGCAGTGTTTTTCTAAATTAAAACTTAACTTTATGAAAAAAGAAACATTCAAGAAGCATCATTTTTTAAAATGTTTCTGTGTCATAAGAACTACAGACCATGCATGACTGTGTCTTTTTCTAGTATATCTAAGTTACCTAAGCTGACATCTTGTAAACATTTTTCTGGAGATGTAAGGCATAAGAAGCCCCAATCAACTAATTTTTAGCTAGGAGAAAATTTCAGCAACCGATACTTTCTTAGCATCTAATTGCAGAAAATTTCCTCTTCATTACAAGGTAAGTCTGCTTTTGTGGCTGCTCTTCTGCTTCCCAAATCTGCATGCTGCACTCCAGGGTCTTGTGGGCAACATGTCTCAGATGTTACCAGGCCTGTACATTTCTGGCCATGGAGATTCAGAGCTTTTTGATGCTGCCAAGTTTCACTTACAAGGTGTAAAATTTACTAGACTGAAATGGAAGGAAAAAAACCCTGCTATTTTAAAAGATTAACATATGTTTTTCTTATTAGAACCCTGCACACTTTCAACAGTGAATACTACTGTCCTTTTGAAGAACTGGAAATAAGAGGGTTTGCATTAAACTGCAAGGAACCACCCTGCTGTGTGAAATTGTGAACTTCTTTCACCTTCATTCCTATAAATTTAAACTTTGTTCAGCTCCATTTTCCTGCCACTTTGCTCTTTCCCTAAGGGCCTGACTGCCTTGGGTTTGGTTGTTTTTATTGTATGTTTTCAGGACCTATAACTCCCCTTCTGCCCCTCCTTCCTCCTTGCTATGGCTTAAATGCCTCTCCCATAAGAAATGCCCTGATTCTCTTGGTCTTGTGCAACCCACGAGGGTCCCATTGAGGCTCTCTTAGTGGACAAAGTTATAGCTCCAGAGGTAACCCTGCCCCATCTGCTTTCAACATGTTGTACTTGACATTAACTAATGTCTCCTATTAGCATTGAAAGAAACCAATCTGGAAAAATGTATTTTCAAGCCGAGTTCAAACAGGCCACAAAGAGCAGTAGATTTTCAGCTGTGTGTGTGCAAAATCTTTTCTTAAACACACACACACACACACGCACACACACACACACAAACTATATCTGGATATGAGTGCCTGTTTGTCTGTGAAAGCCAAGAATTTCTAGGAACAGGTCAAGGGTACAAAGTCATGCACAAATCCTCTGATTTACTGACTGGCAACATGAAAAGAAGAGAGAAATTCAGACTGATTCAGCAGAGATAATATAGAGCAAACAAGAAAGAAACAAGCAGAAAAGTGAGGTGAGAAATGAACGGAATTACTGTTGAGGTATGTGCCTAGTAAGAGTGAAAAGAAGAGAGAATTCTGGCTGGAAATGACAGAAAGAAGTTGATGAAGATACATCATGTGAATAAGGTTACTACCCTGTTTCCTCCAAAATAAGACCTCCCCAGATAATAAGCCCAATTGGGCTTTTGAGCGCATGTGCTAAAATAAGCCTTCCCTGAAAATATTGCAACATAGCAGCAGCCATGAGGTTGCTCGCTTGCTGCCTCCTGGACAGTGGGTTCCCCCTTTGTTGGGAAGGTTGTTGAGAAGGTGGTGGCCTCCCAGCTCCAGCGGTCCTTGGAGGAAGCCAGTTACCTTGACCCATTCCAGTCCGGCTTCAGGCCTGGTTACAGCACAGAAACCGCTTTGATCGCATTGACCGATGATCTCTGGAGAGCCAGGGATGGAGGCCATGCCTCCATCCTGGTCCTCCTTGACCTCTCGGCGGCTTTCGATACCATCGACCATGGTATCCTTCTCCGCCACCTGCGGGAGGTGGGGGTAGGATGCACTGTTTTGCAGTGGTTCTCCTCCTACCTCTCGGACAGGTCGCAGTCGGTGTTAGTTGGGGGGCAGAGATC